AACTATTAAGGGGACTTGCATTTGGACAAATCTGTTAAAGTCAGTGTTTAATGGGAAATGTAATCAAATCTACACCATCAATCACATATAAAGGCTTTTTGATGTAAACAAGAACACAGCCATGATAGTATGTTAAAGAAGATTTATTAGCTGTCCGACCGCATGGGAGCATAGAGTTTGTTTTACATGCCTTGAGCAGTTCCATATTATTAGATTGTAATATTTGATCTCTGGAAAACGTACAGTTGTGGTTCGACAGACTGAGCTGCTTTCTTGTGAGATAAGTTGAGCTCGTCACCGGGGTGACAAAGAGAAACAAAGTATCTGGCACACCAGAAGCCCGAGGTGAATAGGTTGTGATAATATGATTATTTAATAATCTAAAGGCCTTTGATAGATGTTTATGCCTTGCATTACTGACAGGAGGATCGCCCTGGAGCTGTAGATACAGAGCAGGGAGCATCACTGTTTGATTTAAGGGAGTATTCTACCAAGGAACACAAACCTCCACCGAGGCAGCTCACTGAGCAGCATTTACTTGTAATGGAATAGTAGTGTCTTTTGTGAATATTCATTTTGTTTTCTTTGTTCTTTTTAAATATACTTTAAAAAGTTGGGGGGTTTTTTGTATTTTTTATTTAACCTTTATTTAACCAGGAAGATTGAATTGAGATTAAAAACCTCTTTTTCAAGGGAGACCTGACCAAGTTTGTAGTGCAGTAAAAACAAGTGCAAAGTCGGTCCTGTTAAAACCCATTTTAATATTGTGGGATGGAATAAAATGCCTTTTGTTATTATCTAACCTGCAGTATCCATATTGTACTAACAAACACAGCTTATAGCTTTTAGGCCATATTGAGATGAGCAAACATACTGGCAATCTTTGAATTTTTGTTATGGGAATGATTATACTCATTTTATACATATTGCATTCTGTGCCTATAAAAGAGTTGTGGCTCAGTCCATTAATTGAAGGTCAAGAGCTTTGGCCAGCGATATGTCTGGCCAATCCAGTGTGAGGTTGACTAGAGCTGTGGAAGGAATTGCAATACACGCTTACAAAACACTTATATCAGGTTATTCTTTATTATCTTTTATTTGTTCATATTCTTTTATTAGGTTTTAAGTAGTATTATTTGATTAAAACATTTATTCAATATATATTACACATATAGTTTCAGTTGTGTACGTGCTGGCCTTCTGTCTGGTGGAAAGGTAATAAGGTTTAGCTGGTGAGGTGAGAGGTGAAACTGAGTGCATTTCAGGTTGACACATACACACACCCACACACACACAGCAGATAGACTCATTTATAGGTGAGAGGTTAATCATATTTTGCTTGTGACTGCAAAATTGTTCCTGCAAAAGAACAGTTTGTTGCAGAATGTGTGCCTGATGTTCCAGACGATAAGCGAGCGTCCGGCAGCGACGGGAAGACACCTGGGATGGAGACGAGGCGATGTTGTTTTTTCAAACTTTGTTAAAAGTCATTGTGGTTTTGATTTGACGTATGTATGTATTGTATTGCTTAACGCATGAAGGGGTGTTATAAATTTCCTTGATGATATAAAATAACTGTTTTGTGTATTGTTAGA